GTTGGATTCAGAAATGGGAACACATTCAATTATAAATATCAGACTACATCCACAAGGTGAATCTACTATATAACATCTTAATAGCAAATACAGTCTTATCAGATCAACACTCGCTGAAGCACAAAATAGGAAGGAATTTGTTTATTAAAGCTTATTCTAAAACTGCCAGTAAAAGCTCCAGCCAATATACAACAACCTGAAAGGGCTGGAAACATTGACCCTTGGAACTCCATTAAGGCAGGCAAAAGTCATTAAATAGTAACTGAAACAAACAAAACTAACTCATTTTAATTCACGTGTCCTTTTGTTTAGGTCTGAAAATTCCCACTGATTATACCTGCTCACATTTTAAGCAAACATGCAAACATTTCCAGAACTCAAATTCCAACCTGAGCTCCATCTTCATAATGGAATATGGAACACATATATGAGGAAAGCATCTGGGGATTTCCACCCTACCCAAACAGACAATAAAGGGAGGCTACAGGTGGCAAAAATAGAAATGCTTATGCATTGACAACACAGTGCCATAAAACACAGAGCATCTCAGCCCACGACAGCCATCCAGCTTGTGGGTCTGAGGGTGGCACAGAGGCACTTACCCATTACCAAAACAGATAAACCTACCCCAGACTTCAAAACTAAAATATAAACATACAACAGACTAACAAATATCCCAAGTATAAAGCAGAAGTGCCATTTGGCCACATATTGTACTACTGTGGGAAAACTTGCAGTGCAGGAAGCACATACAATAGCAAACTTCAGACCCCAAAAGTTTTCCCCAGAGCTCAGAATGCCCCTCACGGCCATTCTTGCTTGAAACACTTTGGATTCACTATGCAGCTTTTTGCTTCTTCCCACTGGACATGCCCCTATAAACATATCAGGGCATGCCCATCCCTGTGATATACTGCTTCTGGAGCATTTGCCTTACACACAAATTATCTGCTCCAAGATGAAGCCTGGTGCTTCTGCACTGGTACTTTTTATTATTGCCCAAAGTAAGTGAACATGTTTCCCTGCCCGGCTGATGCAACTCACAAGAGAAAACAAACATCCAAGGTGCTGGGCAAGAATATCAAACTTCATCATGGTACACCAGAGAAGGAAAAGCCATCTTGCTTATACCCTCACCTTTAGTTGGGTGCACACATAGAAAAGGAGTATGTGGCTGGGGGGGCCTGTGGTTTTCTTCAGGGTGTGCCAGAATGTCTTTTTTAACCATCACTGTTGATATACTCAACCCTTCTATTCTTCTCAGGGAGGTGAGGAAGGGTGTGTTGAGCCCAGTGCATACAATTTAAAATTCTGGGATTTTTCACCTTTTTGTTTCCTTCAGTGAAAGAAAACAAACAAAACAAACAAAAAAACCCACACAACACAGGCAGTTTTGTCAGCTGAGACAATGCAAACTCTCCTTCAAAGACAATGAAATCCCCTGTTCCTCTGCCAGTAACATACTGTCATTGCCCAAACACTTCCTTGTCCAACCAAAAGCCCCTGACAGCTGGACTTAACTCACTTCCTCTGGGCTCCAGGCTTACCAGGGAACCTCTCTGCACCTGTGTCCCCACCTCTCTCATGCACCTGAGGCAATGAGGAAGAAACTGTTTCCAGCTGGAACACTGGATGTAGACCAATCTCTGCTCATATTATGTGTTAATACATTTAAGACCAGACTCTTTGGTAAGATGGGTGTCCTGGTTTGGTGGGTATATCTATCACATGGAGAAAAAAAACCCACTTCACCTCCTAATATTTTAACATCACAAAATCAGTTTCTACTGCCTTGTCTAAATACATTATTTGATTATCACAAGTCTTAGAAAAGGTTGAGGTTTTCTCCAGAACTGTCTCTGTTTTTTTAATTCTAGGTCTTCAAAGCTATTTTTAAAATCTGTATCAGCTGAATTTGCAAAATGCTAAGCTAGGACCAATATGTGCCCCCAAGAGCCCACACTTGGAAATGAGGTATCTCAAAAGTGCTTGTCTACCAATCTGCTGCCATACTAAAATACACTTTTCATCAACTAATCATCACAGCTACAGGAATAGGGGGAATGCCAAGTTTAAACTTTAAATCAAGACAATTCAGGTGATATATCTCTGAAATTACGGCAGCATTCCCATTACCTTTCAGTTTTTCCCTTTCATTATCTTTCCTTTGCACTTCCTTATCAGTACCTCAAAAACTGTAGCTTCTGTGAGTCCTACATACTAGTTTATGCTGTAGGGAGGACTTAAAAATCTACAGTTAAGGAAAAGTACTTCTAAGCAATATCCAGAAACAGGAACACCACCACAATCAAGATAAGAGATCTTTCCTACATCAAAAAGTAAAATAATCTCTTCATTCTCTTCCTCCCCAGACTTGCTGACCTTTCCCAATACCCTTCCCATATAATTCTGGAGCACCTTTCCCAGCCCTTAGCCCTTCAGAGACCAACTGGCCAGGGCAGTGTTGCCCTCTTCTTGCTTCCCACATGGATAGAAAGCTATTCATGCTCTGGAGATGGTTGGAGACTGCAGGATGGGATAAAGCTTTTGTTCCAGTCTAGCTGTTACTGCCCACTAACTTAAACTTGGCTGTTCCAACTAACAGATTTGTCACACTTGCAATTTATGTCAGATTTGGATCTACGCAGCCAAAAAAGAGAAAAAAACAGGGGCTAACACTGGCCTATTTTAAGCTCTGTCATAGTTTCTGTAAAATGCCATTTAGATTGTAAATGAATCATATGTTGGATCCAGCTAAAACTGTTAGCATAAAGTTTGAAACCTCACGCCCAGTGCAATACTACTGCCCATAAGTCACTGAGGGCTTTGAGAGCCCCTGGGGAGCTTATTTGATGTTTTGTCTTCTTGCAGGAGCCCTGCAGAGGAGAAGGTGGTTTGGGGGCTGTCCCAGGTGAGCAGCAGGCTGGCTGTGCCTGATCCCCTGCAGCAAGACCTGTCTGTCCATCTGTCTGTCCATCCATTCCACAGCCAAAGGCAAGGAGAGTGACTGGGCCCATCCACCCCAGCCAGGAAGGTGGGGGAAAAGAATATTGTGAGAAATAACAAGAGTCTAGAAAAACAGGCAGAAGCTACTGAATACCAACTAAACACATACTAAGAAGACAAATCACTGTGGCAGACACCACCAGATCAAGGACCAGAGGTAGGGCTGTTACAAACTGGGAAGGGTTATGGTGAGAGGTTTGCTATGACTCTCTCCAATAACCTCTGCTGGCTTTTCCTTCATAAGCTCTCTCCTTCCCCAACAGTGAAAACGAATACTTAGCAAGGCACAACTGCTCATGAGCTTCATCACATTTTTGTCCTAGTGCCCTTGAGCAGTAGAGTAAGGACCTGATTTTTTAAAATATATTTATATATAACACAACACAATGTGCAAACACCGACAGACCAAATCCATCCCCACAGATGGGTGTGCAGAAAACCAGCTTCAGAACTAGAAGAACAGCTCCACAGCAGCCCTCTCAGCAATATGAGGCAAAAGGCAGCGCTCAGCCAGGTGAGCAGCTCCCCTCCCAGCTCCACCTGCAAGGCTGGGACCAGGCCCCAGGGCCACAAAGCAGTGACATTTACACTAGTTTCACCAAGGCAAAAACAGGCCAATGAGTTAATGGAATTTATTTAAAACAGGAGAAGAAAAGGATTTCTTTACAGACACCATGAAACACATCAGTACAGAAGAGTTCAGGGAAGGTGTTCTCGCTGACGTTCCAAGATTGCAGAGCTCTACTTCCACCATCCTGCTCTGGGAGAGTCCCCTTCAGCAGGGCAAAGCTGTTCCCTCCAGCTCTGCCTGTGCTTCAGCAGGAAACAGGCCAATGAGTTAATGGAATTTATTTAAAACAGGAGAAGAAAAGGATTTCTTTACAGACACCATGAAACACATCAGTACAGAAGAGTTCAGGGAAGGTGTTCTCGCTGACGTTCCAAGATTGCAGAGCTCTACTTCCACCATCCTGCTCTGGGAGAGTCCCCTTCAGCAGGGCAAAGCTGTTCCCTCCAATTCTGCCTGTGCGTCAGCAGGAGAAGCAGAGCACACCCTCCTCACCACTTGTGAAGCACAGGGACAATGCCCCTGCTCCCTACCTCTTCAGGAAACACACAGCAACTCACCTCAGTTATCCTGTGGAGAACTGGGACTCAGCTGGCCAGCAGCTACATGGCATTTCTGTTACCAGAGACAAGCCAGCAAGTCATTTGTCAGCAATTGCAAAGCCAAACCAGCAGAGAGCTGGAAAGAGGTACTAACTTCCAGTGAGTTCTCCTATTTCTGCCTTGGACCATCTTCCCCTAAATGTTTTTGAAATAAGGCTGCTTCTGTACCAAGCACAGCACTCTACTGGAGATGCAAATACTCACTAACATTTATTTTAAGCGCTTTAAAAAAAGGTAAAAAGATTTAAAAGTCTTGCAAGAATTACTGAATTGGGAATCGTTTTCTTCTTCCTTTGCCAAAAATGCTACCTGAAGATCTCAAAATTCTTACAATTGAAAGAAAGGATTTGAAAGGAAGTTGCCGTGTTTATTTTACAAACTGTTTATAAAATCAAGTATTTTGGACTAAGAGTTTAGCTTATCAGTACACAACTTGGACAGTGTTTCCATAAATCAGCCCTACTCCAAAGAGCCCCTAGGACTATGGGAACAAGTTTTAAATTCTCTTTCTTCTTTCTCAGGTTTTTGTTTGTCATAACCCCTTCAAAGCAAACTGAGCTAAATTCAGCATTTGATCCTGTCTTGTGCAATCTCTGCTTAGAAAGCATCCCCTGCACCTCCCATACACCCTCATCAGTTGAGATGAAGACTGAGATTTCCACCTGCTGCATAAGCCTGGCTCCACTGGGAGAAAATTTATTGCAGTGGCTCATGCAGATGCCACGTGGACGTACCGCAATGTATCAACACCTCCTTACAGTGGGGAGAAGTTAGGCAACGAAGTCCTAAGAGCACGTGTTGCAATGTGGAAGAGCTGTCAAAACACACCAGTGCTTAGACCTCACAAATCTGACAACCCTGATTTAAAAAGTGCTTTCACAGTCAAGAAAAATATCTACATACACTAAAACCTGCTCTGCTAGCAATGCACGTTTCGGAAGCCGGGCAAGGTAACTTTCCCATGAGTAAAGATGTCCTCATCTGTGCCCTGGTTCATATGCTTCACCAAGTTTTTCTCAAACAGGAGGGGGTGGTAGGCTCCCATGGTACAGGCACGGTCGTGAAACTTCTGGTAATAGTGGCAAATGTCCGTCTGCCGCTTGGAGGGGAGATACTCGTACACGTGCACTTGGTCACAGAGCGTCATCATGATGATGATGCCTGGGGAGGGAGAGAAAGCAGACATGCCCATGTCAAACCAGAGAACCAACAGAGCATTACAGCAAGACAGGCAGTCAGCAAGGAGCATTCAGCTCCAAGGGGAAGCGTTTCCTTTCCAAAAGTTCAGAGGAGAGGGGGAGAAAACAAGTGTGGGCAGCTGGGGCTGTTTTCTGAAGCCCTCTTTAGCAAAGCCTCTGATAAGCTTAATTACACAGATTGCTCCCAATGGCAGCCAGGCTGAAAGGCCCATTTTGAGGAGCACTACCGTTCTCCATGACCTTTGTGGAAACCTGGGTGTCTGCCAATCATGACCTGCAACTAGCTGATGCAAACAGCCGATCTCCAACTGCTTGGGTAAGCACAGATGAGACCTTCACCTTCCCCCCAGCCCCCCCCCCACCTGCTGCGTCTGGGGAATACAGGGGATGTAAGAAAAGTGTCTGGAGCTGGCTCAGGGGGCCCAAGCAGGCTCTGCCTCCCCAGTTCCCTGCAGCAGAGCATTGCTGCCCTCCTGTGTCCTCTGACAGGCACATGAGCCACTTGAGGACACTCAAGCCAACACTGGGCAGCTTTCTGGCCAGATGAAGAGCCAGCCATAGTTATTGCCTACTTTTCTTCCAAGTGCAATAAATAGCAAATATTCTTACTATGACTAGGGAAGAATCATCAATGTATAACATCACAAAGAATTCATGCAGTATCTGAGACACCAAGGCCCATGCGAGGAACACAGTTTTCAAGACATCAGAATAACCCACCTGTGAAGCCACTTGTTTAACTAAGGTGCATTTTAAACACATTTCCATCCACCTTTTCAAATTACAATTTTCATTCATGCTTGGGCCTTCCAAGAAACTCAGAGATGCAAAATGGAACTCATTTGTGCTCCGGAGTCTGGTAAGGTGACTCATTTTACAAAGCAAGTAACTTAGATTGAGTTAAAGTTAAGCCACAAAGGAATTTTATGTGTGACATGGGCTGGTGCCTCCTTCAAGCCCCAAACTCCAATTAGCAACAACTTTGCTGCTGAAGTAATTGACTGTGTTGTTACGCAGTTGTTCTGCACATATCCCAGCAATGGTGTAGCAGGTGGTGGGCAAAAGCAGGGTTGTGGAAGAAAACTAGACATTTGATTGGCAAAAATCAGAAGTGATTCTGTTTACAGAGGTGGAAGGGTGCCTTGTCCCCCTGCAGAAATGGGAGCAGAGGAGGGGCTGAAAAGCAGCAGTCAGACATCCACACGGCAAACAAAACCATCTGTCTATGCTGTGACTTCAAACACAAGTATGTGGACTTCCTGAGAAGTTCACTCCTTGTTATTCAGCTGATCACGAGATCTGCTCTCTAATAAGAAAAAAAAGCTTTGCAACAGAAGAATGGAAAGTGAGCCCCTCTGCCAGGATGGATTTGGCATGCTGATGAACACGATGTTAGCATGCTTGAATAAGGGAGAACATTACTCAGCTTTTCAGGGCAACTATTCACTGTGACCATCCCCCAGTAAGTCTTCAGCTATATATATTTTTTCATTTTTTTTCTATATTTATACATGGAGACTATAAACAGGCAAGCATTTAGATTTCATCTTCAGTAATCAGATTTATTGCCTGACAAGATCTGGGCCCGCAGGAGCCATATCCTTCCTCTTGCACCTCATGGGAACTGCTCTGGCACTAGAAGCTAGAAAACCTTCAGACCTTCTCAATGTTGCAATCTGCTCTCCTGTTTCCAAATGGAACAAGGCCATGTTTTAACCGCTGTCTCAAAGGGGGGGGTTACAAACCTCTTACTTTAACACAACTGAGCTGCTGCTTTAAAGACAGGAAGCTTAACTTTTGGGATAAGACAAACACTGTAAAAGCAACTCTAATAAGCACCATCAATCTGTAGCTGTCTTTGGAAAAAAAAAAAAAAAAAAAAAGCATCC